CTACAGCAACACAAACAACAACATCACAAACAACAACACAAACAACAACAGCAACACAAACAACAACAACACAAACAACAACACAAACAGCAACACAAACAACGTCGTCTTTATAAAATTAAAAAAACCAATTCTATACAACCCTTCAATCCAGCCGATATGTTTACCTGGAAACGGTAATGATGACGTCATTAAATCACGTGTTTGCGTGGCGGTAGGCCATTGGTTGAATTCTAAAAGTGAGTTCTTTCATCCATCCATCTATTCATTCATTCATTCATTCTTTCATTCCTTCATTCATTTATTCATTCATTCGTTTTCAAGACGAAGTGACAGATACCTTAGTGCAAGCACGTCTGACAGTTCAGCCAATGAAGTACTGCATCGATAAATTATTAACAAATAAAAATTTGATAAAATTTGGTTGGCGGGAATTTATTTGTCTATGGTTGGATGATAATAGGCAGTCTAATTTGGCTATTTTTAAGGTTGGCTAATTGATTGACTAATTGGTTGACTGATTGATTAATTGATTAATTTGATCGTTAATTGATTCGCTGCTTCGTCACAGAGGAGTTTTCAATTATTGATAATAATAAAAAAAATGAAAATAATAATAATATTATTATTATTATTATTATTATTACAGTTTTGAATAATGTTTTTCTTGCCAGAGTGACAGCGGGGGTCCAGTGATGTGTGCGAATGACCAGAAAAAATGGACGATTCACGGATTTATCGATACATTTGCCGACAAAAATGATTCGGCAATAGTTAAGGTTATTATGATTAATATGATTATTGTGATTGTTATTATTAATATAATTATAATTATATTTGTAATAATAATAATAATTATTATTATTGTTGTTATTATTATTAGAGTTGCAGACTGATTCTTGCCATTAACGTTCAGCGACACGTGAAATGGATTGACAAGAGTTTGCTGATGGATGAATGAATGAATGAATGAATGAATGAATGAATGAATGGATGGATGGATGAATTAATTAATTAATGGATGGATGGATGAATGAATGTATGGATGGATGGGTGGATGGATGGATGGATGAATGAATGAATGAATAAATGAATAAAATCCACAAATACTTATATCAATTGAATAGCCAGTTTCACTTTCATTTTCGCCGTGTTTTTATGAAAAAAAATTGAAAAATTTGAATGAAAATCAATCGATCGATCGATCAATTAGTTCATAAAGCGCTATTTCCGCGATGTTCAACAGCGCTCCTGAAATGAATTTTTCAAACTGATGGGTCTTGAGATCCGCTCTGAATCATCATCATCGTCGTCATCGTCGTCATCATCATAATTTTAAACCTTCAAACAAAACGCGTTCGAATTCGAGTGCGGCGTCAAATAAAAACAAACAAATAAATAAATAAAATATTTAAATAATAAGAAGAAATAATAATAATAATAAACTATAATAAAAAGAAATAATAATAATGAATATAAGGCCAGAGCCATCGTCCTCAGTACCAATTGCAGTAGAGGAAAACTCGAACCAACACTCCCAAGAGCGATCATCTCATCATTCGCGAAGTACACTGCAGGAATGGATCCTGAGTTCTGACAACGTGATTATTATTATTATTTATTATTATTTCTTATTATTATTTCTTATTATTATTTATTATTATTATTTATTATTAATAATATTATTATTTTCATTTTATTTCATTTCGCTTCAT